GGACCACAGACATATACGCCTAACTCTGCAACAAATACCGCAAATCAGCTGAGTTCGTAACCCACAAAAAACCAACTGGGAGGGCTTTAGGGCTGACCTTAAGGCCCAGCTCGCTCTGGTCCCAACCAGTTTCAGAACCAAAAATAACTTAGAAAACGCGGCGGACTTTTTAAAGAACGCCATTACAAACGCCTTTGAATTAAACTGCTCACCAAAACTTAGGAATCCGGTAAACAAGGTCCACTGGTGAAATAAAAAGCTCGGTAAGCTCAGGTTGGAAAAAAGAAAGAAATTNAGCAAGGCAAAAAGAACAGGACTTGCAGTACACTGGAANGCCTTTAGAAGCTTTTAACGAGAGTACAGCAAGAAGATTAAGAAATCAAAGTGCAAACGCTGGAGACGTTTCTGTGAAAGCATTGAGAGCGCCTCGGAGACATCCAGGTTTTACAGAATCCTCAGTTTGGATCACTGTCCCCAAGTAAGCTGTCTCAAGCTTCCAACGGGGAATGTCACTGAGGAGGCAACAGACACATTGAAACATTAATGGAAGTCCACTTCCCAAATTTTGATCATAACATACAACCCTGCCGACCGAAGCCTAGGAAATATAAACCCAGGGACTGGCAGCTAAGGTTGTTTTTCCAAAGGGACTTGAATGGGCTGTTAAAACCTTCTCTCCCTATAAATTATCTGGACCGGATAGAATCTACCCGGTTCTTCTTCAAGAGGAGCTGGGGGTTCTCACATGTCCACTCACAAAAATCTTCAGAGCTAGCATAGCCATAAGACACGTCCTCCAGTCTTGGGGTGGTACAAGAGTAGTCTTTATACCCAAGCCTGGTAGAAATGGCCATATAACAACCAAAGACCGATCAATCTCACTTCCTTTGTACTGAAAACACTGAAGAGACTGCTCGATAGATATCTAAAAATCGGCCCTTTGCTAGTACATCCGCNGTCAATGAGTGGAATGAGGAAATAGTGGTGCCAGTACTGAAAAAAAGAGAAGGAAATAANGTGGAGGAGTATAAGGGTGTGACATTGGCCGGGTCATTGTATGAAGTGTATGCGGAGTTGTTAGCAGAAAGGTTAAAGGAGAAGGTGGAAGGAAAGAATCTAGTTCCAGAGAGTCAGGCGNAGTTCAAGAGGGGAAGGGGTACAATGGATAACATTTATGTAATAAATTACCCGATTAGCAGAAATTTAAGTAAAAAGGAGGGTGGGTTGATTGCGTTATTTATAGATTTGAGGCTTTTGACACGGTCAATAGTAAGACTTTGCTAAGAGCAATGAAGGAGAGAGGGGTGAGAGAGGGTTTAGTGGGAAGGTGTGGGGACTTATATAGGAAGACGAGGAATAGGGTGGCGGCAGGGGGGAAGGTAGGGAATAAACTTTGGACAGGTAGGAAGGTGAGACAGGGATGCCCGTTGAGCCTATATCTGTTCAATCTGTTGACGGCGGATATNGAGGACTATTTGAGTGGGAACGGATGGAGTGGAGTGAAGGTAGAAGGAAGAAGAGTTTATGTATTNGCGTATGCGGATGATTTAATGTTGTTAGCGGAATAAGAGAAAGGGATGAAGGGAATAATGAGAGGGATGGAGAAATATCTTGCGGAAAAGGGTTTGGATATAAACGTAAATAAATCAAAAGTGATGAGGTTTAGAAGGGGAGAGGGAAGGGAGAAAAAGCTGGAATGGTGGTGGAAGGGGGAGAGATTGGAGGAGGTAAGGGAATTTAAATATTTGGGGTATGTGTTTCAGAAGAACGGGGGGAAGGAGGCGCAGATAAAAGAGAGGGTGAGAAAAGGGGCGGCTGTAATGAGTCAGGTGTGAGGGATTGGGAAAAGAAAGTTCGGTGGGGATTGGGGTAGAAAGTTGTGGCTGTTTGACGTATTGGTTTAGTCAGTGGTTGGATATGGGGTAAAGATATGGGGATGGAGGGAATGGGATAGCTTGAAGAGGTTACAAAATAGATATATGAGATGGTTATTGGGAATAGATTAGAGGATCCCGGGGTATATCGTAAGGGAAAAAGTGCAGAGGGACTTATTAAANGGAAGGGCTGGGCAAAGGGCCTGGAGATTTGAGGAAAGGTTGGAAAGGGGAGAGGGTAGCGAAATAGCAAGACTATGTTTAAAGGAAATTAGAGGCAGAGAGGAGGGTGGGGAGAGGTTGTCTGAGTGGGAGAATGATAGGATAAAATATTATGAGGAGAGGGGAGTAAGGATAGCGGAGATGGAGAAAAGTAAAGNGGCAGGAGACTGGAGAACTCAGCTGTTGATAGAGAAGGAGAGGAGAATGCAGAGTGAGAAGAAATGGAAAAAGATTGAAAGTTGGAGGTACAATAGATGGTACAGGAGAATTAAGAAAGAAGGAGTGCCGGGATATTTAAAAAAGAGGTGAGGAGAAAGCAGATGTCAGAGGGTGGCTAGGTTTAAGTTGGGGAACAAGATAAAAGAAGGTAGAAACTGGAAAGGAAAGAGAGAAAGGGTATGTAGAATGTGTAGAGTAGTGGAGGAGAGATGGAGGCATGTGTGAGAGGATTGTGGGATATGGGGAGCGGAAGGGAATTATGAGGACATGATTGAAGTGGTACTGGGNGAGGATGAAGGATGGTTAAGGAGGCTGGAGGAATATAGGGGAACGGAAAAAGAGGTAGGGCAGGNGGTGGGAGAGGAGTGATTAGAAAAAGAGGGATGAAAGTTGAGTGAGTGAAAGTTGAATAAATGGAGGTGTGAAAAGAAGTGTGTAATTGTATGTATAAAGTGAAGAGAGTATGGAAACCAATGGCGGAGTAGCTGGATAAAGTTGACTGCCGGAAAGAGAGGTCCGTATTGCAGAGAGAAGGGTAAAGCGATTGCGTGTGTGTGTATATAGTATTTTAGTTTTTTAAGTTAGTTGTAAGGTTAGTTGTAAGAGTAGATGTAAGATTTTTTTGTATAAAATTTTGTAACCCTAAGGGGAATCAATAAACACTATCTAATCTAATCTAGTACATC